GCCTTGACGGGATTGAGCGCAATGACTTCGTCGATGTGTTGATCGAATCTGCACGACAAGTTGCAATTCGAATGATTAGCTGGCTTGATTGCGCACGCGACGTGGCAAGCTAGATGGAGCTGCACAAGAGCTGACTCACTGATGCTGCAAAAAGCGACGCGCCCCGGTAGCAATCTTACGCCTGAGTTCTCGCCCACCGCTTTCGTTCCACTGCTTCTCGTCTGTATAGGCCAGAGCATACTGTCTAGCCCGAATGGCAGGTCCATTGAAAGCATCACTGCCCCCTGTCGGCTCTTCACCAACAACGAGCGACAGAGCGTTCCAGGTGTCCGACAGCGCAGAAGCGGTCTGGGAAGCTGAAGATGACAAGTCACCGGCGATGGATGATTGAGGCAGGCTCACTGCTGAGCCCAACAAAGCGACCACAGGAACGGGTCTGCTTTGAGATCGAGCATGGTTGATCAGCCGAATCTTCTCGTCATACTTCATCATTCTTCCGTGCAGACGTGTCGAGGAGCCAGCGTTGGAGGTGAGGGAGCGCGTCGCGCCTGCCTGTCCTGCTCTAGAACCCGTCGCGAGCTGATCCGATGCGAACGCGTTCAGCCCGGAAGAGTATCCTCCCATCTCTTCAAGTGCTCTCGCTCTTTGTCGACTCCAATCCCTGGCCAGTCCCCTACTCATAGCCACGGCAAAGTCTTTCTGCGTCTCTCTTCTTCCTTCTTCGATGGAGCTCAGCAGGAGTTGTTCGTGCGAGTGCTTGAGGTAGGAGTCGATATCTGTGTCGTAGATTGGAGACAGAGGCTCGAATGCTCTCGAAGTGTTGATGCGGGCGATGGAAGCTCCCAAAGAAGCCGCATCTATCCCAGCACTAGCCAAGAAATAAGCCGCCTTGTCGTTGGAGGCCACACCGTCTCCTCCATAGCCTCCTGCTCCCACACTGGCTCGCGCACCAGAGGACGGTCCCACAGATTGGTGCCTCAGTAATCTGCGCGTCTGCGACTCGATCTGATCGAGACCTAGTTGGATATGTGGCAGGTCATTGCGGTTTCCGAGATGGGCAGTGAGGGAGTGCGATTGATTCAATAGTTGCGAAAGTGTCGATTGAGATTCCTCGCCTGTCACGCGGCCTACGTCCACGTCCATCCTTGCGCTGAGCTGCTCTTGCTCGAGCAAAGGGTCGGAGAAGAGGAAGATGGCACAACAAAGCGATGCGCAGGCAAACTTGTGCGCAAAGATGGGGATGGTGGTGAAGGGAACCGTCGACTGCGGGCTCGAAGCGCGATCTTGCTTTCCAGACCGCGGTTTGGGGGGTGCGCGTCTCTGCATCACGTGATCTCCCGCAAGCCCCGCGATCAGGCCATGCGCTCCAACTCAAACTCGCCCATGTTTCTTCTCGACGTTGCTCTGGCAGACAGTCTGGGTGACTGTTGACTTGTTGACTCGCTCATCATCACATCACGCTCTCCCCT